CTTGGGAAATATGCGTAAAAAGTTATGCCAAGGACATTTGCCTATGGGGGGCAAAGGCAGGAAATGGACGTAGATGCGGGCAGGACATGATAATTGAAAGCATTGGGGCGTGGTAACCATTTTCATCCATTCGGTCCAAGGCGGACACGGAAAACGGGCTGCAAAACTTTGGCCAAGAAATGGCAGATTCCCCCCACTGCCACCTTTTAGCACCTTCTGATTTTTTCTTTTTGTGCCCAACTGTCAGCAGCACTTCATCGTCCACCATCGTCGTCCCATACTATCCATCCACTCGTACCTCATATCCTTAGAGAAAGTTTGTCTGGTGCTGTCCAATGATATTGCACTAAACACGAGTCCCGTCCACGCATTTGCTTGCCGAAGACCATTACTTGTAGTATCTTTGGATAGCATTTCCATTCAAGTTGCAACTCACCTGAAAGTAAACGAAAGAAGCAGACAAATAGCATGAGCACCGGGGGGCATGAGGCATGAAGGCATGAGCGTGTTTTTCATATAAAGAGGCTGCTTTGCATTGCAATTTTGTTGGTTATAAATTATACTTACTGGCTACCACGTCTGGCATGACGGATGCCAAACGGAAATGGGAACAACACAGTACACAAAAGATGGTCGGAACGGGCAACAGGAACCCCACACACATACAGAGGGAGAGTGAGAGAGAGAGAGAAGGGAACAGGAACACCAGACAGTGGAGTGCAAAGGAGGAATCGTTTAAGAGGAGCCGCCATCATTCAAAAGGGAATAGGAAATGAACAAATGAACGGTAATTGACAGGGTGGAAAAATGTGTGACAAATGAATCAATCAAACTGGAACTAGTTCCGTTTTCAAGTACCGCTCACGAACATATTCGAATCACGAATGCTAAGAATGTATTGAAAACAAATTATTCAAATTCATTGGCGTTACGGATTTATCGTTTACAATTTCCCATCAATAGATGGCTATTACGATTAGCTACTACCTACGATTAGCACCGCTAAGCAAGACAACAATTTGCCCAAAGTTTTACGGACAGCTAAGCAAACAAATAATGCATCAAAATGTACTTAAATAATTATAAAAACGACACCCAAAATTGTAGTTCGAACTTTAGTTCGCTAAATGAACTATTAGCTTCAATTTCTAGGCACCTGCCAAAACCCCAACAGCCACTTTCATCTCTAGTCATATCTCATAAAAATTCTACCCTTTTCCCGCATACTTTTCCACGGTTTTTTTTTTTCAGTCTTTTACTTTTGCTTAAGCACTACGAGTATTCCCTTCGCAAGCACGTGAGGAGCCTGAGGCAATTTGAAAGCCAAAAAGTGCTACACTTTTGTTAAACCCAAAAAGTTGGGCAATTTGCTATTAAGAGAAACTTTTACACCAACAAAAAAGGCAGCGAGAATGTGGCCGGGAGTTAATGCTTGAAATAAGGGTCTGGGTCTGTGATGTTTTTTTGACTACTAAATAGAATTAGATCGTAAACCTTATATTCCCAGGTACGGCTCCAGAAAGTGGCAGCATTTAAGCTTTTACAAAATGCATCTCAGGTGCATTTCCCCCTCTCTCTGTCACTCTCGCACTCTGTCTGACTCTAGGCGGGTCAATTTAGATAGGTTGACGGTATGAGAGGAAATGTAAATCAGCAAACGGAAGTGCACAAAATTAGCGTTTTTAAATGAGAGAAAACTCATCAAAAATTCAACGACTTAATTTGTTTGTGTGGGCCTCTCACTCACTCATTTTCCCTCTCTCTCTCTCTCTCTATTAGTCTCTCGGTCTCTCTAGAGGGGTAGGGGAGCATACATTTAAAACCAAGTAATTAATTTCACACGGAATAAGTTTGCAAAGTTAATTGGCTTAGCGCTGGCTTTTGACTCGGAAAAAAAGCAACAAAAGGCATCGCACAAAAGCGACAAAAATGACACCCACTTAAAGCGCCGGGCAGGGCATTTACAGACGAATTCGCCCCGAGGGATTATTTTTCGGTATTCCTCAGGAAAAACATCAAAATAAACTAAACAACTCATAGATAAGTCTGGACCTGAAGTCTTTAACAATCGAATTAAATGAGACAAACGAATTAATAACTGTTAAAAACAAAAAAATTATTATAATAGTAATAAATCTACAGATAAAGTGGAACACTCCATAAAATGAGGGCGCTATTTCTTGAATATTAAGTACCGAATTTTCTGCAACAGCAACCGAGGGATGACAATTTGTATCCTATTAAAATTAATTAAAATATCTAATAAAATTATTTATGCTTAAAAATCACTATGGAAAATTAAGCTGCTTGTAACTGTCACATAAATCTGCACTGATAACGGATATACCCTCTTGCACTGGGTATCAAAATTGCAATGCGACAGCGACATCGCTTGGAGGCTGTGGCAGTGCCGGCGGAGGCTTGTCTATCCATTTCCATGGGAACATTTGAGGGGTACGTTAACGGCATTAGGCATTCAACATTCACCGCTCCACCGCTTCAACAGCAGCAGCAGCAACTTTTTCTATTCGGTTTTTTTCATCCCTGAACTTTGGCATGTGTACGGGACGATGGGGGCACCCTCTTCACCTGCCAGGTAATCGCATTAGAGGGTGTTGTGTATACGGCGGATTTTGTGGGTAGGTGAAAGCTACTCCCCATCCACTGCTATTAAAGGGGTGTGCTGCCAGCCATCGAGTGGGTTTTATTATTGTTTGCCCCCGCAAAAATAAGATTTAATTCTCGCGCTATTTGCATTTGCATTGGCTGCTGCTGCTTTATTTGTTTATGAATTCTCTCGCCAAAAGCTATTAAAACTATGTTTTTCATTGTAATCAGTTATCTATAATCTGTTTGTCGTAATGCCTGAGGGCTGCACAAATTGTTCGGATTATATTGTCTCTGTAATTGACTGGCGTGCGGGGCCGCCATGGCTGTGGTTGGGGCGACGCGTCGTGTGATGAGTTTTGGGTAAATAATTTTAATTAAATGTTGGCAGCGAAAAATGTGCTTCAAAATGGTTGGATAAATAGCATGGATTTCTGTGGCTTTACAGAACTCGATTTAAATACACGTTAATCATGAAATGTATTCTGGAATTGGAGCATTCTGATCTGTTTGATGGGCAGGCCAACAAAGGGAGCTGTACTCCTGGGTGAATCTTCTCTATCGATGAGCATGCTGCTGGGAATCAGCGATCAGAGAAGCGACCAGAAGCGGCTCTTTCATTGTCTGAAAGGACAAAAGTACGAGTGGTTAATGGTTCTGAAATCCTTTCGGGGCTTAGGGCAGCGATATCTGGCTACACAATCGTCTGTTGATATGCTGCATAAATTTTCCATGATAATGGAACACTTTTTTATAGTTTATAAAATTATATTTGAATTAAAAATGTACAGCAAATGTACAAAAAACCAAAAAGAATTTCCTCAAAAAAAATATATGCCAAACCCAAAAGTTTTTTTTTTCGGTCTTTATTTCTAACTGTTTTCCATATTAATATGTATGTAGTACTACGGTATATTTTTTATATATATCTAATTTTGTGCGACCCGGGTTCATTGGTCCGGGTCCCTCCACCCGAATAACATAGAAAAAATATCGAAGGTTACATTGCCATTTAGTTTCTAGAACAATTCAGAGAGAGATAAAAACCGGCTCAGGAGATATTACAAAATCGGTATTAGCTAGTTAAAACCCGTTTTTGTTTGCCACATCAGTTGTCAGTTGTATGCAAAAATACGGTCTGGACTGGCGGGGTGTCGGGTGGCGCGACAAAACGTGACAAATTTAATTGGACCCCTGCCCGGTGCACCGGTATGCCACATGACAAGGAAACCACCGAAATGTCCGTGCAACTTTATTTCCTCCCCAGCCGCCACATGTTGGAAGGCGCTCCTCTTTCCTTTCAATGCAAATTCGCTGCATGTTCCACTGCCCTGTCCTGCCCTGCCCTGCGCATAAAATCGAATTGCAAATGCCGAAAATGCTGACAACAAAATTTATTTGTGGCCCAACCGCATTCTATAATACTCTTTCTACTGGCATTGGTTTAGTCTTAAGTATTTATTGATTGGAAATTTTTGAAATTGTGAATCTAACATAGAGCTGTGCTAGAACTCTTTGAAATATCATAGTTCTATGGTAGAAATTTTTGATATATTTATCATAGTCTTTTGGCAGAATTGGCGGGATTCTTGAAAATATCTCAGCTTAGTTCATGGTTTAATAACAAATGTTTAGCACCTATTTATATAAATAGATAGAGAGACATATCGGTATAGCTAGATATACTACGTCAATGTTAAAAAATAAAATTCTGATCTGCTTTTTTTTTATCTTCCATACCCCCCAGAAAGGGTATGCAACACGGTATGAACGGCAAGGTATGGGGGGGGGGCGTACGAGAGTAAGTATGCATTTAAGAGAGCGGCAGAGCAGGGGCAGTGGAGAACGACGACAACAGTTCGTGTTTGTCGCTCATCGTGACAATGCAGCGAATGATTAGCGGGAGACAACAACAATAAAACCGCAGCAAAAAACGTGATGTAGGCAAAAAAAAAATAAAATAAATAAATAAAAAACTAAACTGTAAATTGAATTTTTAGAAATGGACCGCCTTTTCTTTTAGGTATTTTTTTTTCTATTGTTGTCATGAGTAATTGGAAAAATTAGGTACATGACAAATGAGAAAATGGGTGGTGGGGGGGTGAGTAAATAAAATAAAATGCATTTATAAATCTACAAACATTTGATTGGATTTATTTCATTCATTTCAATAATAGAAAAGATAATATTAAATATTTTGTAGAATAAAGTAAAATTATTTATTAATTATTTGTTTTTTATCGTAAATTTTCTTGAACACATTTTGGGCTAATGTGGGGGGGATCACAAGTGTATGAGATGATCAAATGGTTGCAATAATTTATTGAAAATTAATCTTCAGAAATTGCGATTTGTGATTAAAATTTAATATAGTTTTTTCTGTCAGTTTATACCTGCTTGACATGGGCACGTCGCTCGAACTGTATGCCCCCTGGATTGTGATCCCGGATATCCATGACGACGACGTTACCGCCTCGGGTGCTGCTTTTCAAGCTGTTTTCAGTGTTATTTCCATTAAAGCCTCCAATGCTCCTCCTCCTTCCATTGCTGTGCTCGGTGTCGATGCTTTTTCCAGTGCTGCTGCTGCTGCTTTCAGGACTGTTTCCAGAGCTTCTTTTATTGGTATTTCCATTTCCATTTCCATTGCTACTCTTTTCAGTTGTTGGCGCTGATGCCACCAGTGGCACTGCTGCCGGCAATGATATGGAATCGACATTGCCCTCCATCAATGCCTCGGCTGCTTCCAGCATATGTGGCATGCCCAGTGGCATTTTTCCACTACCAGAGCCTCTGCCACTGCCACTCCCACTAGCTGCTTTGCCACCACCCTTGCTGGCATTGGCACTCTCATTGGCGCTCCTTAATCCGATTTCAATCACAATTTTATTTGGTTGCTGCTGTGGCAGCTGCTGCTGTTGCAATGGTCGCTGTAGATTCTTTGGATGCGTGGATGCCGATATGTAGTTGAGATCGCTTTGCGACAGATGATGCTGCTGCAGCGTCGAGTACTGCTGCTCGACAAGCGCCGCACGTGTCTGGGCCGCCTGGTGGCCACCATTCGCGGCCGCCGAATCGCTGGCCACCTTCTCGCGCAGCTTAACGATATTCGAAATGTTGATGCTGTTCGTTAGGGTGATGCCCGTAATGCAGACCAAAATGATGGTTAGCACAACGCCGCAGATGGCAAGGGTGGGCATGCGGAAGAATTTTCCACTGCACATGATGAGGCCGAGGAGGCCGGAACGGGGCGGGTCGGGGCGGGATGGTGGGATGTAGTGGTGTTGGTCCAATCAAGCAATCATTTGGAAAAACCCAGTTAACTGGTTTGTTCTAACTCTTTTCTTTGTTTGTTTTGTTTGGTTCACTCTTTCGTTTTTATGCTTTGTTGTGGTTCAAACGAGAGTTCAACAAACGGTGCGGTGTTGCTTGATTTTTTGTTGCTGTTGTTCGTGTTTCGTGTTTTTGCACTTCGATCCCCGCTCGCGATCGTCTCGCGACTCGTTCGTTGGCGTCTCTGCTCTCGTCTGCAGCTGGAACACGAATGCAGCTGGAAGGCAGCACTTCACTGCACTGCACTGCAGTTCTTCGATCGTACGTTCTCTCTCTCTCTCTCTCTCTGTCTGTCTCTCGCTCTTTTACCGTTTGGCTTTCGCTCTCGTTGTAGATCTCTCGCTCTCGCTCTCGTTCTGCTTCTGGTTCTCGTTCTCTCAGCTGCTGGTTCACCTTGAGACGAGACGCTGGCTTCAGCTGACGCTGCCGTCACAGCTGCGCAGCTGCCTCGAACGGATTTGCATGATGTTTTTTTCCTTTACCGTTTCAATCTTTTACTTTGATTTTTTTTGTTTTTGTTGTTGTTGCTGTTGCTTTGTTTCACTGCATGTCTTTGTTTATTTGATTTATTTTTGTTTTTGATTTCATTTTTTGTTTTAACGGGAAACAAAAACTTTTAAAAATACACGCACCGAGCCCAAAATGCGGATCGTTAAATATTCAATTTGTGTAAAGTTTTTGCAGTTGTTTTTGTGTTGCTTTTGTTGCAATTTAAGATTGGGCAAACACAGAGAGAGCTAAAAACAAAGCCTCGAATAAAAGTATTTTTGTTTTGCATTAAAATTAGTCAGTTCGAGTTCAAATTGCGTATAATGGTAAGATAGCAGCCTACAAAATTTTGCAACTTAACCATTTAAACAATGTACATATATTTTCATTAACTTTGATGTTACAACCTTTTTAACTCAGCCAAAAAACAATTTTTTCATGGTTTAATTTAATAAGAAAGAATAAATATTTCATGATAAATTGTTGGCCGCGAAAACAGCTTCTGTGCTTGTCCCGAATGCCTTGATTTTTTTTGCAATTATTTAGCAAAAATTGGAGGGCTTAAGATTTAGAAGTGCAGCTTGTTGTCATAAATGCTCAATATCTTTTTTAATTTCCAAATTCAGTTTTCTTAGTTTCAGAACTCAGACTAAATGTTGATACAGTTGATATCTCTATCTCTGAGCACTCTACAAATATTAATAGAGAAATCTGTGCAGTTATTATACCATTTTCGAGTTAATTGACATCTTCATTAGGCATCCCCCGCCTCCCTGCCACAGCATCGATTGGCGTTCTAATGCCCCTCTCAAAATGTTAATGAAATCAGTTTCAAACTCACTCTCCCTTTTTGCTTTTCCTTTTCCTTTCACGCGCACCTGCTGCTGCTGCACGGTTGAACCGCGCTTCGAGTATCTATGACAAGGCTTTAAGCAGGTTCTAATGCCTGGGCTCTAATACCCTCTTATCCCCGTCCCATTGGCATAAACAATAGGCTTTTTGGGGACAAAGGGATACATGACAGTGCGTCGCCTGGCATCTATTCTATTTCTCATTTACGTATACTCTAACCATACATTTATTGCTACGCAAAATACTTCAGAGATACTTGACTGTCACCAGATCGATTGGAACTTATAACAATACCCCTGCATCGTGGCATCATTATGATTGATTCGCGGTACAAACTTCAAAACACTCGCAACGAGCTTTCAACTGCTCGATGCAGCAAGAGAGTATTATCGAAAGAGAGTCCAGGGTAGGACTTCTCTTGACTTCAATTGCACAGAGTATTTTCAGCTTCGTCTCAAGTTACTTTTCGTTTTTGTGTATTTTTTTGGGTGGGATTTAGGCATTCATTTCATGGGATCTGCACACGCGCCTCTCAGCGGGACGGAGGAGAGCATGGGTGGAGAGCATGGGACACTTGGTGGATTTAATTGAGCCGACACGCACGCACACGAGCGTCACTTGCGTGTGTTTGATGAGCTAGGCAAGAAAGAAAGAAACGAGAAACGAGAAAGAGAAAGGAGAGCACACAAGTGAAAGGGAATGCCAAAAGAGAGCGAGTAGAGATTCCATTTAATTGCATATCAACGCCTGCCTGTTGCCTTGAAGAAAATACTCGTACTCGTACTCGCCCTCGTATCTTGTTTCTTTTCCACATTGTTTGGCTGCCTTTAACACGATGCCTCTTTCGTCGTTGCATTTTATTTGGTTGACATTCATTGGGGGTTTTGGGAACAAATGAAAACCGTCTTTATTTCATCTTTGTACGATCCCACACGTTTTTTGGAAATTTAGGAATGCAGTGTACTCGAACCGGACCTTAGTTAAAAAAGACACCATCAATTTTCAGATTAATTTTAAGCATTGATTGTGCTCGAAAAGACAGGTGTTCTAGGAGCCAAACTAAATAAAAGTTCTAAAACATTTTCTTTATTTTTTTATTTTAATTATTTTAATTTGAATGTCAGTGAATTTCATTGGAGATTCATCGGTGGAAAGCCTATCCGTTTAGATGAATTTTGGCTTTAGCATTCTGCACCCATCCACCACCCCATATATTGCCCCATATGGCCTCTCTCACACCATTCATCACTTTTTCTTTTATTCTTTTTTTATTCGTTTTTTTTTTGTTACTGTGCGTGGTTCTTTTTCGTTGCTATTTATTTCAATTAATGAAGCTGCGTCTTTTGTCGCTTAATTAATTCCACAACAAAAGGGCTCTCAACCAATTTTCGACTAAGTAGAACCTTGAGAAGAGTAGAGTAGAGCCCGGGGTGGGTATGGCGGGCGTGGAATATAAGAGTGTTGGCGTACTATTCGAGGGGGAATTAACGGATTAAATTTTCAATTTAGCATGTTTGAAGGCATTTCAATTAGTGCCCATTTTGTGAGACAAATTGCTTTGCGTGCATGTTCAAAAATGAAAAGAGAGTTACAGTCCATCAGTGGGAGGGCGGTGGAAATCGTAGGAAAAGCTCCTAAACTTTTACCCATATGTAAACTAGCCTAAAAATAAACCATATAATTCAGTCAAAAATGATATTGAGCCGCAAAATTCCATCAGAAAATGTGGGTACGATTGATAAAAAAGATTTGTTTAGCAGTTGCATAGTTTTAGTTTGGAGATGATGAGTGAAATAGCTGAAATGCATAAATCATCAATATGTGGCAGGCTGAGGGAAAATGGCAAAAGATGTCACAGCCCAGAAGTTTCTGTCTCTGTCTCTTTCTTTTGTGATATCGGAGATGCCATATTGCATGCCCTTAAATTGAAGTTCCAAGCGTCCCCAAGCGACCATATGCATTCCAGGGATAAGTAGTAAATTGCATAATAATAACATACATCAAGGAAGAAGCAGGAAGGAGCTCTCTGGCTGTGAAGGAGAAGGCGCTGGTGGCTCTGGCTGTGTGGCTGTGGCAGTAGCTCTCTGTTTCTAAAGAAATGAATGTGCAGAGCAATCTTTGCCGTTTCATCTTAATTATTTTCAACAGCTTTTCATGAAATTGCGGCTTAAAGCGGGCGGGCGGGGCTACAAACAGCAAAACAGATTGCATTACAACAAGCTGCATGCAGCAAGAGGATGCAGCAATGTTGCACATTTCATAATCGAGTGAGATAGAGTGAGAGAGCGAAAGAGAGAGAGAGAGAGAGAGAAGGACAGCACAGAGATGGGGAAACTTTATTAAATTTACGCAAGTAAATTGCAATTTATTCGTTCCCTCTACCATTCCCCCGCCACCCCATTCATTCCCATTCCCGCACTTTAGCACCCCCTCTTCCCACCCATGTATAAACCCATCTCTACTCTGCACTTTCGCAGGACCAAAGGCCGGGACGCTATTAAATTGGATTACAGTCACTGGCCACAGTGCGTATGCGTAATTTCGAAATGCGATGGCGGCCCATTAAGTGCAGGGAAATGCTCGCCTAAGGACCAAGGAAGGATGCGATATTAAAGCTTTCGAACCCATAAATATAATAAATAATAAGTATAAATATAAAGTGCACATTCATCAGTTCAATTCATGACTTAACCTTTATGCGAAAATTCCATATACATAATTCCAATTTTATGCATATGTGCATTTTCCCTGACCTGCTTTTAAGTTTTTGCCCAGTTTTTTCCTTCAAGTTTGTTAACTCAATTACAGAGCAAAACAAGCAGCACTTTCCACCTGATCAGCCTTGAATGGGCTTAAACACTGTCAATTTTTTTTTCTTTTTTACTTTTTTTTCTTCTTTTTGGCACCATTATGGCGGACATATTTTGAGGTAATTTTAGCTCAAGTTTCAGCCTCTAAATCGGATGGAATACTCGTAGGCTTTAGGGCCTCGAATGGTGGTGGTGTTCCCTCCCAATGCAATGGCCAGTAGTGCCTGCGCCTGAAGCTACGTGTTTTCCTGTTTTCCTGCCATTTCCCACCGAAACATTTCCTCGCTTTCCTACTCCCTGTCGTCCCTTTTTTTGACTGCTGTGCTGCTGCTGCTGCCTGAACGCATTATTTTGTCATTTGCATTTGCCTGTGCATTTCGAAAGCTTCTCTCCTGCCCCCGTCCCGCCCGTTCTATTGCAGCCACAATTTTGTTTTTTTTTTCCTTTTTTTTTTTGCCCCGAAAAATGTTCATTTCGAGGCACGTCGAGGCTTTGGATTTGTACACCCTGCATTTGCAGGATTTCAGGGAAAGTATTAGGCTCCTGGACGAAAATGAGATGGCCATAGAGGGCACACATACTCTACGTGGTGCATTAATGACTCGAATTGAGACGCACAAGCGAATGCGGCCGAGAATTTAATTTTTAGTGCTGCTTTTAGAGCACTACACAGGGTATCTTGTGTACGTTTCTTCGGGCTCATTTTGCTTTGTTTCTTATGCCCTAAAGGTTGGGCAGATGTTTCCTTTGGTTGCTTCTGCTGCTGCTGCTGCTGCTATTTCCCTTTTTGTGGAGGGAAGGAAGGAAGGAAGGAATATTCAAATCCAAAATCCAATTCCCAAGGCTCTTTCAATGCAATGTCCTTGGCCAATGAGAGAAGTTTTGCTGGGGCGGCTGTCGCTCTTTCCACAAATCGAGTTAATTTCTTCCTCTACAAAAAAAGAAAAAAAAAACAAAATAGAAATGCAACCAGAAATACAACCAATTTTTGGCCTGGCTCTGCGTCTTTATGCGGCAGCATGTGGCATGCATTTAACCCGCGCCTTGACCCGTGCCCGTAGAGCCGCCTTTTGAGTTGCGAAAATCAACAAAAACAAAAACTGCG